TCTATAATTTGAGCACAGAGAAACTTAAAGCCGGGATTTTTGATGGTAAGAAGATTGATAGAGGATGTTAATTTTAATATGCGGTTAAAAATTTCGGTTTTAATTTTAAACTTTTTGGACTACATATATGACAAAACTAAAACCAGTTTCAAATACAAACCTTGCAAGTTTAAAAAAAAGAGAGCACATATGTTGGGTTTAGAATTTAAACAGTTCGGTTTAAATATGAAACCCAAACATTTTCATAATTAAGAATAAAAAAAATCTTAAATTTCATGCTCCGTCTGATAGGGATTGAACCCCGACAGCTTTGGTAGCCCCCAATTGTATCAGGCATCTTTGGACACTCAGCTACAGCCACGCATGTAAATGTGCTTTCATATGTTGAGTTTAAATCAACAACACATTTCGCTGTGTGCAAACATTTTCTATTTCGGTTTAGATTTTAAACCAAATTTTCTATATATGAAACCTAGAAACTAAAATTAAAACATTTTGGTTTGATTTTTAAACCACCAACTTTTTGGACTAAAATTTAAACCAGAATATATTAAAAATTGCTTAAAACTATTGACTGGTTTAAAAAGTAGACTATAAAAGATTAAAAAAGGCAGTAGTCCCAGCGCGGTTTAAAAATTAAACCCAAATTTTTGACCGTGTAGTTACATGACTGATACTGAAAAAATGCCTGGAATGAATTCGTTTGGACCGAAAAAAATTTTCTGGGAAACAAAAATGATGAAACTTATGCGGAGCGTATTGTACTGATGTTGTCACACTTCCAGCAGATTGGTTGTAATATGAGCATCAAGGTACACTTCCTCCACAGCCATTTGGACCGTTTCCCTGAAAATCTTGGTGATCTGAGTGAAGAACAAGGGGAACAGTTCCATCAAGACATTCGAACTATGGAGGAACGTTACCAGGGTCACTGGAATGCTCACATGATGGCGGAATATTGTTGGAGCATAAATAACAGCTCTCGTGAACTAAGTCAAGAAAGAAAATCTTATAAAAGAAAATTGTTTGATAAGTAGTGGTTGTTTTTCTAACGGTTTTCTTAATAAAAAAATAAATTTTTTTTTAAAAACGCGTTTTAATTATATCTCAAAAACTAAAGCTGATACAAACAATCTGACTTCAGATCTGAAATCAGCACCCCGAGAAAGTATAATATTAGTATGATGTATTGTGGAACGATTTTCCGTCATCCCCTGTCAAATTTGGTTTGGAGACAAACCGGTTTCGGCGTTGTGCCATCTTCAGTGTAATTTTTCGTTCCGAATAGTTCGTGTTTTCTTCCGCTTTTTATGTATTCGTGTTACTATCTGTTTTAACTGTCATTAGGTGATGCATACCCATCTAAGTGCGACCGCTTTTGTTTCATTATCCGCCGGCGGGTAGAAATCCGTTATTTTTATTTTCTTGGTTTTCGTGATTGTGTCGGTTTATGTTCCATTATTTAGCAGGTATTAGGTTGCTTGCTTGTGCCGGCAGATAGAAATCCGTTATTTTCATTTTCTTGGTCTCTGCGGCGTAGGTATGTATCTTCGTGTTGGCGTTTTTTGCATATTTTTCGTACAACATCTTGAGTGGTTCGAATATTACATCGGATACGGTGTTTGTTTGTTCGTTAATAATTCTCCCTTGAAATGTTTTCTGCTTGTATATCTCCATGTTTTCCAATATGTTCAAACGGCGTCCTTTATGCTGTACATGGAGGAGTTTGGCTGCCTTATTAATTTTCATTGGTGTACATTTATTTTCGAACATATTATTTGCGAAGTTTGATTCTGGTGTGACGCTTGGTTTTTGTGTCCTCTTATTGTAGTCTCTTATATGTTCTCGGAATCTTGTTACATAAAAAGCGGAAGGAAACACGAACTGTTCGGAACGAAAAATGACGCTGAAGATGGCACAACGCCGAAACCGGTTTGTCTCCAAACCAAATTTGACAAGGGATGACGGAAAATCGTTCCACAATACATCATACTCCTACCCTGTCGGAAACACAAACAGCCAAAAAGAAGTTATTGAGGCCGGTCAGGCACATCAATTAAGGACAAATACGCTTTTGACAATATACCAAAGACGGCTACTGAAAGTACATACTACTAAGGCTAACATCTGGTTCAACAAGCAATGTTTAGAATTGAATATTACACCGAAATTCGCGCAAATAAAACTAAAATCAAACACCGAGAATAAGCGGAAAATATTAAAAAGAGCAGAAAACAGCTTTCTTCGCCACAAAATAAAAAACCTACACGGCAAGAGAGAGCGGACAAACTCAGAGTTAATGACAATTCACCTAGAACTAGCGGGACTCCTACCAACCAGTACACTGATGCAGATATTAGATGAAATGGAGGAAAACATCAAGAAAGTCATCCGGCAGAAGTACAGAAAATTGAACCAGAAACTTGAAGACCTCAGTAGAAAAGAAAAGGGCGCAAAGAACCAAAAACAAGCAAAACCGCAATTCCATTCAAATTTTGTAAATTTAACAGCGGTCCCTATCAATGAGCAGGAGGCAGAAATACTGAGGAAAGGTCTTAAACACAACATCACGACCTATGATAAAAAGAAGGAAATGGAGCACACCATTGTGGACACAGAAATGGCTATAGTACTGATCCCAAACGAAGAGCAGGATCACGCCAGGCACCTATGTAGGCGTATAATTGAAAAACATGCAAAATCCAAGGAAAAAAGAAAGCAGGATAACGAAAACAAAACAATCAGGGTTCTTAAACAAAAACTAAAGGCGAATAACGTGATTACAAAAAAAGCAGACAAAGGGAACACAACGGTATTGATCAATAAAAATGAATACATAGGAAAAACGGAACAAGTAATAAAAGAAACAGGCTGCAAGAAAATAGGAAATGATCCCACCGATGAGTACCAAGTGGCAATAAAAAGGGCGACAACGATAATAAAGGAGAATGAAGCAGGAAGACTAACATCAATAAACCCTTCGGCCCCTCCAATGATTTCATTACCAAAAATACATAAACCAGGTAACCCGATGAGACCGATTATTAACCACAGATCGGCTCCGGCATACAAACTCTCGAAATACCTGAAGACCATACTAAAGAACAAACTAGAGTTACCCAATAAATATATAGTCATAAACGCGGCAGAGCTTATAGAAAAGATGACACCCTTACATACCACTAATAATTCTAAATTGGTATCATTTGACATAAAGGATCTTTACCCGTCAATACCAACAACAGAGACAATGGATATTTTATTAAAATATTACTCGGCAAAATGGAAAAGAAAATCGCAAAAGAAATTATCAATACTTTGAAGACTACGATAAACCAAAATTATTTCCGATTTAACAACAAAATATACAGACAAATAAATGGACTAGGAATGGGTAACCCAACATCGGCTATACTCATGGAGGTGTTCATGCAAAGCCTAGAGGAGAAATATATGGAGCATCTCACAACCAATTTAGGGGTCAGCTTCTACGCTAGATATGTGGACGACATAATATGCATAATAACGGGGGACAAAGAGGAGCAGATATTGGACTACCTTAATGAACAACACAAAAATATAGCATTCACGATGGATAAGGAAGAGAAAGGAAAACTCAACTATTTGGATCTAACTATTAAAATAAACAAGACCAACAACAGACTGGAATACGAGATATACAGAAAGCCCACAGCGACCGACACAGTAATACATGAAACCTCTAACCCCCCACAACAACACAAAAACGCAGCATTTAGACAATTATTAACTAGACTTGAGCGAACCCCATTATCTAAGGAAGCACACAGAGAGCTAGACACAATATTTGCTATCGCCAGAAACAATTGATACAAAAAAGATCTGGTGGACAAAATGAGGAAGGACTCGAAACGAAAAAGTAGGGACAAGAAAGAAAACAACGATGCAGCTTGGGCAGTGTTAACTTACACGGGCAAAATGACATACAAACTGGCCAAGGTTTTCCAAAAATTCAACATTCGCACATCGTTCAGAACCAGGAACCACGTCGGAAGGATACTGAACAACAGCACAAACGAAGAGACCACTCTAGATAAGCAGGGTGTATACAAATTAACGTGTGAATGCAGGTGTAGCTACATAGGGCAAACTAGCCGTAAGATTAAATAAAGATTCCGAGAACATATAAGAGACTACAATAAGAGGACACAAAAACCAAGCGTCACACCAGAATCAAACTTCGCAAATCATATGTTTGAAAATAAATGTACATCAATGAAAATTAATAAGGCAGCCAAACTCCTCCATGTACAGCATAAAGGACAGCGTTTGAACATATTGGAAAACATGGAGATATACAAGCAGAAAACATTTCAAGGTAAAATTATAAACGAACAAACAAACACCGTATCCGATGTAATATTCGAACCACTCAAGATGTTGTACGAAAAATATGAGAAGACCCCTGAAAAAAACGCCAACGCGAAGATACATATCTACGCCGCAGAGACCAAGAAAATGAAAATAACGGATTTCTATCTGCCGGCACAAGCAAGCAACCTAATACTTGCTAAATAATGGAACATAAACCGACACAATCACGAAAACCAAGAAAATAAAAATAACGGATTTCTACCCGGCGGCGAATACAAGCAACCAAAAAGCACCTACCTGTGAGATAATGAAACAAAAGCGGTCGCACTTAGATGGGTATGCATGACCTAATGACAGTTAAAACAGATAGTAACACGAATACATAAAAAGCGGAAGGAAACACGAACTATTCAGAACGAAAAATGACACTGAAGATGGCACAACGCCGAAACCGGTTTGTCTCCAAACCAAATTTGACAAGGGATGACGGAAAATCGTTCCACAATACATCATACTCCTACCCTGTCGGAAACACAAACAACCAAAAAGAAGTTATAACATTAGTCATAATATTTCATGCAACAAAAATACTGTTCCCTTGTGTATTAGAAAAAAACTGTTTTCTAAAATGTAGATTTATTACTTACCCAGTAGCAAGTGAAAGTAGTTGGAGGTTTTTGAACAATGGTACTTATTCCCAAAAGTGGTATAGAATATACAAAAAACATGTGGAGTCCAGCAGGTTATAAATATTAGAGCTGACACGATGAGTATATTCGCTAAACGGCGTCTTGAGTGCAGTGTAGACGTGCGAGGAAGAGGTATGCCCGGAGCGGCTGGGCCGAGACATCCTGGATTATATCTAAGCCGCTGCCGTTGAGAATGGGCTCGTATTTCACGCATTGCTCTGAAAAATGGTAAACAAAAAGTTGTTCACTCACTATTTTGCCGCCATAGATTAAAAGCAATAACCGTTAAGTAACACCATTACCAAGTGAACTGTCTTTCAATATTTTTATCGAGCCCCATTAAAGGTTTGTTGTAAATTAAATACAAAAGTTTAATAGTTCAACCGCTTTATTGAACATCAAAATTATCTAAAATAATCGTTTATGTTTAGCGGACACCTGTTAACTTTGAGCATTTCAGGTCGCTTATGCATAGCAGGGATGTTGCGAATATTTGCATTCGCATTCGTTATGTGAATGATTCGCATCATTTTACGCATTCGCATCGGACATTCGCATCAAATGATACGAATGTTTTGCGAATGCGAATGTGTACATGGGCAGAGAGTAATATTGTTGAAATGGTTCTAAGTCTATCTAACCAGGGCGCGGACAATAACCGGCTTTGAGCTTCAGCCGCTAAAAGGTTAAGTAGTATATCAAGCACCATTGATGGGCCTTAAACAAGCACTGCTGAAAGTCTTATAAGCAACCTAGAAACAGAGCTGTTAAATTTCCATTACGATTAGTAATCATTGATTTTTTTGCATTTTAAAATTTTAATGATTATTTTAGTTTTCTTATATTACCCAGCAATTAATAATTAATTATAATTAAAAATTATAAAAAATAATCATGATTAATGGCCATTAGAAAAGTAATCAAATTTTAACAAATAATTTTTTTAAATTATTGAATTATTTGATTATTTTTAATTTTTTGATTATTTTTAATTATTTGACTGTTTTTAATTATTTGATTATATCTAATTATATGATTATTTTTAATTGTTTTTCCAAATAGAAAAGGCTGTGTTTGGCAGGCAAATTTTTATAAACTAGTATTAAATAACTGAAACCAAATTACTGTTACTGTATTGTTTCTCATCATATCTATATATTAATACGCTAACATAAATTTTGTCTCCGTTCGTTTGGCGATTCTACCGAACCGATTTCAAAACCAAAAACACCATTGGAAAGCCTTTTTTCTTTAGATGATGGTTTCAAAATTGGTTGAAAATTACGGCCTAAACCGTCGTTTAAACATTTCCGATTTGTATATAGATGTTGCTGCAACATGTTTAATTTGAGATGTTTCGCATGTTGTTTCACTTCGCATTTGAAATTAAGCTTTGAAATAAAGATAAATATGAAGATGAAGAAATAAATGATAACGATGAAGTCAAAAAAAANGCATTCGCATCGGACATTCGCATCAAATGATACGAATGTTTTGCGAATGCGAATGTGTACATGGGCAGAGAGTAATATTGTTGAAATGGTTCTAAGTCTATCTAACCAGGGCGCGGACAATAACCGGCTTTGAGCTTCAGCCGCTAAAAGGTTAAGTAGTATATCAAGCACCATTGATGGGCCTTAAACAAGCACTGCTGAAAGTCTTATAAGCAACCTAGAAACAGAGCTGTTAAATTTCCATTACGATTAGTAATCATTGATTTTTTTGCATTTTAAAATTTTAATGATTATTTTAGTTTTCTTATATTACCCAGCAATTAATAATTAATTATAATTAAAAATTATAAAAAATAATCATGATTAATGGCCATTAGAAAAGTAATCAAATTTTAACAAATAATTTTTTTAAATTATTGAATTATTTGATTATTTTTAATTTTTTGATTATTTTTAATTATTTGACTGTTTTTAATTATTTGATTATATCTAATTATATGATTATTTTTAATTGTTTTTCCAAATAGAAAAGGCTGTGTTTGGCAGGCAAATTTTTATAAACTAGTATTAAATAACTGAAACCAAATTACTGTTACTGTATTGTTTCTCATCATATCTATATATTAATACGCTAACATAAATTTTGTCTCCGTTCGTTTGGCGATTCTACCGAACCGATTTCAAAACCAAAAACACCATTGGAAAGCCTTTTTTCTTTAGATGATGGTTTCAAAATTGGTTGAAAATTACGGCCTAAACCGTCGTTTAAACATTTCCGATTTGTATATAGATGTTGCTGCAACATGTTTAATTTGAGATGTTTCGCATGTTGTTTCACTTCGCATTTGAAATTAAGCTTTGAAATAAAGATAAATATGAAGATGAAGAAATAAATGATAACGATGAAGTCAAAAAAAAGAAGAAAAAAGTGAAGATAAAGACGAAAATGGAGACATTGACGGATAAATAAGAATTAGGGCAACTGAACGGGTAAGAACATTTCTTGAATTTATGAAGTGAAACTTCTTTAGGCAGTTGGTTGGTTGGGAGTAAATTGTCAAATTCCAGGGGAATAATGCACATGGAAATGCTTCTCAGTGGTTTAGCGGTTTGAGAATAAAAACAAAAACAAAGATGCCTAGAGATACAGGCAAAAACGAAGATCAAGGTAAATTTAAACACTTTAAGGTAAAGGTGAAGAGGAATATGCAGAAATAAAGATAAATATGAAGAAAAGGATGAGGATGAAGATCGATATTGTTATCGATATAAAACTCGATATTGTTATCGATATAAAACTCGATATTTTTATCGATATAATAATCGATATTGCTATCGATAAAATAATCGATATTGTTATCGATACTGTTATTGATTAAATAACCGCTATTGTAATCGATATAATAATCAATATAATAATCGATATTGTTATCGATACAATAATGGATATTGTTATCGGTATAATAATCGATTAAATAATTGATTTTCTTATCGATTTAGTCATTTACATATATTGTTATGATACTGATACTGATGATTGTTACATTTATCGCTGAATTAATCGATTTTACAATCGTTGTATTTTTCTATATGTGTATGGATATTGTTATCGGTATCAACAGGGTTATCGATACACTAATCGGAACATGGAATGTGATCACATTTCATGACATCACATCAGATTTTATCACATGATATGAAGAGACATCACATGATTTTGCATTACATAATATGATATCACATTACACGATATCATGTGACATGACATTATATGATATGACATCACATTATATGGCATGACATCACATGATATGACATCGTATGACATGACATGGCATTACATGACGTGGCATCACATGATATGACATCATATGGTATGACATCATATGACATGACATCAGAGGATATGACAACACATGACATGACATCCTATCACATCACATGAAATCACGTCACATCTTATCACGTCATCGCACCTCATCTCATCTACGTGAATAGAAAAAGAAAAGGATATAAGGCTGCTGTGAGCCCAGCTTTTATTAATATTTGCTAGAGAAAACGAATATTATGATCGCAGATACTTATAAAACTAAACTCCTNCCTTTTTTCTTTAGATGATGGTTTCAAAATTGGTTGAAAATTACGGCCTAAACCGTCGTTTAAACATTTCCGATTTGTATATAGATGTTGCTGCAACATGTTTAATTTGAGATGTTTCGCATGTTGTTTCACTTCGCATTTGAAATTAAGCTTTGAAATAAAGATAAATATGAAGATGAAGAAANTACTTTCATTGGAACCCCGAATCTCGCTATCCAGTTGGAATACAATGTGAAAGCGACCTCTTCGGCTGTGATTGTTGCGATAGGATATGCTTAGACCCACCTCGTAAATCCATCTATGCAGGTGAGGCAGTAACGAAATCCTCGATTTGGCGGCAAGGGACCAATGATGTCCATGTTGACGTGGTCAAACCTCCGTTCTGTCAAAGCGTAAGCTGCGATTGGCGATTTGTTGTGCCGTTGTGTTTTCGCCTTTTGGCAGCGTAAACAGCTTCTGGTCCAATCGCGGCAGTTCCGGTTCATGTTGGGCCACACGAACTTCTCTGAAACAAGCTTAGATGTCTTGGCAGCTCCGGCGTGGCATATGTTGTGGATCGATTCAAAGGCTGTTCTACGAAACGGCTCTGTTATAAAAGGGCGTGCCTACCTGTGCTGATATCGCAGAACAGTTCTGCTGAAGCGCCAGGGATTTTCAATTTGACTTATTGCAGACCTGAATCTCCGTTGCAAAACGTTTGGAGTTCGTTGTTGTTTAGCTGGTGTTTGGCCAGTTCGTCATAATCGATGGTTTGGTTAACGTGAATGGCTTCAACTCTCGAGAGTGCGTCGGCAGTAACATTTTCCTTTCCGGGTACGTAGCGTATATCTGTTGTGAATTAACTCACGAAATCGAGATGTCTGATTTGCCTTGGCGACGCTTTTTCTAAGTTTTGTTGGAAAGCAAACTGAAGTGGCTTGTGGTCAGTTAGAATGAAAAATTGTTGTCCTTCCAGCATGTGACGGAAATACTTTACGCTTTTATATGCGGCAAGCAGTTCACGATCGTATGTACTGTAGCGTTGTTGAGCCGGGCTGAGCTTCTCTGAATAAAAGCTAAGAGGCTGCCATAAATCGCCGTCGCGTTGTTGTAACACGGCGCCGATTGCAGTACCAGATGCGTCGACTGCCAACGCAAGTTGAGCGTTGGGGTTTGCAAAGGCGAGAAGCGTAGCTGCGCACAGTTCGTCTTTACAACGTTGAAATGCGTCCTTTGCTGTTTGACTCCAGTCTATTATTGAAGTGTCATTTTTTTATTGCTTTTGATGAGCGCGGTTAGAACGCTTTGATATGCGACTGCTTTGGGTAGAAATTTTCGAAAAAAGTTGATTACACCCAAAAAGCGCCGCAAGTAGCAAGATCGTTTCGGCAGGTCAAACTCCTGAATAGCTCGCACTCGTTCTTCTGGTGGTTTCACTCCATCCCTCGATACCCTGTAGCCCAAAAAGGGCACTTCTGCTTTTCCGAGATCACATTTCGACGGGTTGATGACAATGCCGTGTTTGCGTAGCTTTTTGAAGCTACCAATATGTCGTCCAGGTAAGGCAAAGCGAAGCTGAACTCGAGCAGGATCTGGTCCATAAACTTTTGAAAATTTTGGCCGGCATTTCGTAAACCAAAACACATATACACGAATTCATACATACCGAATGGGGTGGTTATGGCTGTCTTCGGTATGTCGCTTGGATCCACTAGTATCTGGTGATAAGCCCGCCGTAAGTCTATTGTCGAGAAAATTTTGCATCCGTGAAGCGCGTGTGTAAAGTCGTGTATATGTGGTAGCGGATACCTGTCGGGCTCTGTGACGTCGTTTAGTCGTCGGAAATCTCCACACGGTCTCCATTCGCCGTTCTTCTTTTTCACCATGTGGAGGGGGCTGGCCCATGGGCTTCGTGAGGGTCAGCAGATGCCCGCCTCCAATAGTGATTCGATTTCGGCTTTTGCAGCTTTCAGTGTTTCGGGTGCTAATCGACGGGGCTTTGAAAAACGGGTGGCCCTTTTGTCACTATGCAGAGCGTAACGTTGTGTGTGGTGTCCTTGGGTACTGTTTTTGATGCGCCCATAATGTCTTTGAATTCGTTAAGTATTTCTTGGAAGGACACGTTTGAAACGTTGACGATTGCGCAGCACTTTGCGATATTTGTAATGTCGTCGAATAGTAAACGATGCCGAAGATTTACCGAAATGTTATATTGAGCGAGGAGGTCCGCGCCGATTATGGGTTGTGCCACGTCGGCGATAATAAAATTCAATCTCAGCGGACGTCGAAGGCCGATGTTGAGAGTAAGAAGCTTCTCTCCGTAGGCTTTGATTTTCGTTTTGTTGGCCGCATACAGATAGAAATTGGTTTCGCCCTTTTATGGATTATGCTGACTTCAGCGCCAGTGTCGATTAGGAAATGGAGTTTGGAAACTGTGTCTCTAATTAGTAAGCGACGGCTTGGTGAATTGAGCCTGTCGCATGCCGCTACGAGCGACGGGCATTTTAGTTTAAAGCCTTTGCGCAGGGCGGGCGACATTTTGTTGCCGCGTCGCCGAATTTGAGGTGGTATCAACAGGTCTCTGATGGTGTTTGCGATCTATTTCGTGCTGGGCTTTTGCTGCGATGACGAACTTACGTAGAAACCTTTGACCTTAGCGCTGCCACTTCTTGCGTTAGCTTTTCTATTTGCTGCGCCAGTGTTGAGTTACGCGCCGTATCTTCGCGAGTCGAGATGGCGTGTAGCTGTGGTCCTTCTCTAACCTCTAAGATTTTATCAGCTAGGAGTGCCACTTTCTCCAAAGGTTCTGTGCTGATTGAAATTATGGTCCGAACGTCAGTTGGGAGGCGGCTGATCCAGATTGATCGTAGCATAGCGTCGTTCATCGCGTTACCTGCCAGAATTTGCATCTCCCTGAGGAGTTGTGACGGACGCATGTCGCCGAGCTCCAGCTCTTGTAGCAATTTTTTTATTCGTCGTTGTTCGGACTCTCCGAATCGCTCTAAAATGCGTGTTTTCAACGTCTCATACATGTCGGTAGTTGGGGGGTTTAAGATGATATCGCTGATTTGCGCCAGCACGTTGCTCTCGATGGCGGCAATCACGGTGTGGTATTTCGTTGCATCGTGTCTGATGCGTGCGGCTATGAAGCGAGACTCGACTTGAGCTAACCACAAGTTTGGATTTGCGTGCCAGAATGGGGGTAGCTTTACGGAGATGTTGGCAATTTCCTCGTTTCCACCTAATTCGCGGCTGAGTGCGGTTGGAGGTCTGACTTCCATTTGCGAATGTTCTTCTGCCTTGCTATCCTCGTTGTCCGACCCCATCTGCTGCAGTTTTTGGTCCTTTGTCGGGGTCACCAATTATATAGCTGCTGGGCTCACACTTTTATTAATATTTACTAGAGAAAACGAATATTATGATCGCAGATACTTATAAAACTAAACTCCTTTTTTATCTTCACGTGACGACGTTTTTCC